TTATTGATTTTTATTCATATACTATAGTACATTAACAATGTAAACAAACAACTAGTCTGCGCGGTACAAAAATATTGTAAACAAACATCTAGTCTACATAAATATTGTGAATAAACCAACGAGTCTTCAGTACAATACATAGTAAACAAACAACTAGTCTGCAGTACATAAATACAATACACAAACAATTAGTATGCAGTACATAAATACAATACACAAACGATTAGTCTGCAGACTGCAGTACATAAATTTAGTAAACAATGAAGTAGTAAGCATTACTTTAACATTGCAAAAAAAACTAGTCTGCTGTACATAAATAAAGTAAACAAACAACTAGTCTGTTGTACATAAATGGTGTAAACAAACAACTAGTCTGCAGTAGATGCTATAGATATTGTAAACAAAAAGCTATAGTCTGCAGTACATAAATAAAGTAAACAAACAACTAGTCTGCAGTACATAAATATAGTAAAAAAACTAGTCTGCCGTACAAACACCTAGTAAACAAACTAGTCTTCAATACAAATTCAAAGAAAACAAAGAACTATATAATATTGAAGAAAAAAAAAAAAATTTGAAATGATCATTTTTTATGAAAAATCATTGAAAAAACTTACCGCAAATGTGACAGGGAATTTCTCTCTAAGTTCTGCTGTAATGTCGTCTTTACCCTCCCAGTAACTCATTGTAGTGAAGAAGATTACGAGGATAGGGATTGTAAGGCAGGTCTGATCCAAGAATACTTTTTTAATTATCACTCTGAAAATATATTATTAAAGGGACTGTCAACGGTATTTAAGGTGATGCTTTATTTAAATCGATTCACACTCTTTAAACTTTAAGAAATGATGTATTTATCTTTGTTTTTTGTTCAATTGGTTTCCGAATTTATTTTGGAAGATAGTAATTAAACGATAAGATCTTCATCATTGGTAGAGTTAAACTCTAAAAGATTTATGAAATGTTGTCTTTATGCTATTTCACGTAAATCTCAGTATTTGCGAAAATAAGTAAAAAGCCATAAATATGCGTAAACAGTTCTAATGTTTTAAAGAGCTCCATATAATCATTTAATTGAAAAAACTAAATATCTGCAACATTCCGTTATCAGAAAGTGAAGAATTCGAAATTGGATGAATTTTTTCTATGTATTTAATATTTATGGTTTCAAATTTAGGATCACTTAAAATCACGTGGAAAGTCCCTTTAAATACCATTAAATAAAGAAAGAATTGTTTATTTGATTTCCTAGTTTTCTCAATTTTTAACGTCTTAAAAATTATTTAAAGGGAGTGTTCGCGAAAATGCGCTCGATGTTTCTGTGTTTCACGTGAAAGAGAAACTTAGCGGACAAAAAAATCGTCGTTTTTAGTGATTGTATATAAAACAAATAAAATAAATTATGAATTATGAAACTGTATACGAATTCTGTGGGAAAAAATCGATGAATTTAGGTTGTAATATCTGAATGATTTTTTTGGAATTAAATTGATAATTTACGATCCGAGTCGAAAATTGCAACTTTCTGAATTTGAATGGACGCTACGTTTCTCGGTATAAGTAGCTTTTAACAATTTTCTCTTTATAGACGAAACAGATAGAAGTAAAATTAGTAGCAATCACGACATCGAATATTTTTCGACGTAAGCTTAAACATCCATTTATTTTACGTGAACACTTCTTTTAATAAAAATAAAGGTATTTTATTAAATAAAAACTTACTTATTAGCCGTCGATGTGTATCTGGTGTCCAACCATCTGTACCATACTGTCATTAAGTTAGGTATAACTGTGTACCCTGTATTCACAGAAAATTATACTTTTTTGTTCGTAAGGTATCGAAACTTTTAAACGCTTGATCTTGATATCCAATGTAAGCTCCTTTCAATTCAAGGATACACTTCCTATTAACGTTTTCCCATTAGTATATGACCACAACGGATTATTTAAGAAGCATTAGATTAAATTGTAGGTCTGCATCAGATGGAGATCACTGCTTGATCAAAAGATTTTCATGGCTAATAAAAGCTACATAAAAATGTTTAAAAGTTTTAATTTTAGAACAACAATTAATATACCATGTTTTAACCCCTCTGCATTTAATTCTTATTTAAGATTGTTTTCGTCACAAATTAAAAAATGTTATTTTTTTCTGTTTTTCCTAGAATAGCAAAACGTTTGAGCTTGTCTGTGTCAATTTCTTCAGTCTCAGATCCCTGAAATCAATCAATCAATGAGTTGACCATTTCATCCACTAAATAATTTTAACAATCAATGGAGAATTGAGTTTTTGCCACAATCTCAAATTTTTAATGCAAATATCTTTAAAACCTTCTGTTGTAATCCTTTGAAACAATTAGACTATTTGATCAAACAGAATTTAGAGTTTTAAATATCAAAGGTTTACAACATCGCGTTGCAAAGATATAAGGATTAAACAATCAGAGTTTGTGGCAAAAACTCAAATCCTTTACCTGGATATTCAATGCTTTTCTGTTTACTGTGAGGTGATTTAATCAATATAATAAAGACGGCTTTCGATTTCAATTTTGATTGATATCAAGCTTTTAAACAGCATGATACACAAAAAACATGGATCAAACAAAGAGAAGCTATCAATTAAAAAAAAGCTTCTCTTAAATCACTTTTACACTTTTAATTCAAAAAAGCGTACTAACAAAAAAACTAATGAAAAGTCGTTTCATTAAATTGATATAATCACCTACCTATAAAATTAGAAAATTGAAATTGTTGCAAATGTCAAATTTTCAAAAGTGTTGAGGTCATTTTTTCAGAAATATTTCAGTTGCAAACATCTGTCATGATTTCAAAAAAATAAAGACGACAAGAAAACTTCTGTTTTTGGATCCCACTGTATGTTTATAACAAATTTATTAAATCTAGGGACAAAAAGTGAAGAAATCTGCCAATAAATATCAAAACTGATTATATTTATATTACTTTTTCTATCATGACACAAGTAAACTGAGAACACTTGTTCAAATGATTGGTCCAGAATTCAGAACTTACAGATGAAATTGGAGATACGAAGATAGTTTATCTCTGGTGGTATACAATTAAGAAGAGGGGATGGGGGGGGGTTACATCATAATCTAACGTGCATTGGTAACGTTTTGGAACGTATTGTTCATTGCTGAAAATCGTTGTTTACGATAGTCTTTCCTTAAACGTGACAGTAAAATATATAACACACAAAAAATCAAATATTAATTAAAATCCTATAAAAAAGGTAACTGCAAAAATTTCATTTTATTTTGAAAATACAGAGTTTTGTTCCGAAAACTTATTTGACTGTCACCAGATCTACTTCCATAAAGAATAGAATATATATATATTAGAGGGGAATTTACTAGAAAAAAGTGTAAAACGGCCATTTTGTTGTACTGTTTCTATACTGCAGGTGTACTTCACATATTTATGTTATATAACCTTTTGGGCCCTGGAATATCATTTTATAGAAAATCTAAAATTATTGTTAAAAGAAAACCAAATTATGAAATAGGCTGGTTTCATAATTGACCAATGATCATTTCACATAGACTCTATGCCTTCCACTTTACAAACGATGATTTTCCGTTATAACTATAAATCAAATGATGTTTTTATTCACCTAATTCATTATAAAGTTTATTTAACAGTTTAAAAATTCGAAATTGAAATGAAAAGTCTAGGGAACACACTGTATTAATGTACTCTTGAACTGTATTAATGTACACCTTGAACTCCCGAACTCCCTTTCAGGCTGAAAGGGACTGAAATTCCCCTCTAATATCTATTCTACTCTCTATGTCTACTTCATTTAAAGAAACTAACCTGTTGTGAAGGCATGTACTTTTTTAGAATAATTTGTTGAGTGAGCTCAGCAGTACAAAACAGAGTACCGTAGGTCAGGCAGTTTGTGAGGGGAGGATAGCGGCCCAGAACCTTCCGTACACCCCTGTACAGTACATAGAATACATACAAAAAATATTATTTGCGTAATTTCTTCCAGTTTTGTGCAGGAAATTAAATCGTGCAAGCCCACGTGATCACCAATCCTAAATCTAGCAAGAGACAAATGTACTTATCGGCACTGCTAGATTTTCTATTACATAAACATGAACTGCAGGTTCTGAGGCCGAATTTAAAGAATTTGAGCCGCGGCATCCGCCAAAACCCGGTTTAAATTAAGCACCGGCTTAAATCATGAAACATTTAATAAAATTTTAAGTGGAACCAACCATATTTAAGCCGCGGCTTAAATTTAAGCCGCCGCTCAAATTCTTTAAGTTCGGCCTCTGGGGATTATAAACATATTTGTAAGACTTATCAGCACTGTGTTTGTTCATACTCGATCCTACAAGAAATTGCAGTACATTTCTTATCTCAATTAAGATGCAGGTTCCTTGTTTATCTTGCTTGCTACAATTGCCAAAAGATGTTTAGACAAGAAAGTAAATTGTACTGAATTACACAAATAGCCTTGTAGTTTTGAGTATGAATATTTCTTGCTCCAAACCAAACCAAACCAAACCGAACCAAACCAAACCAAACCAAAACCAAGCCAAAAACAAACAAAACCAAAAATATAAGGAGGAAAAAAACTAAATAACGGTGGAAACACATTAATCTCCCTAGAAGGGGACGATTCAATTGGTGTACTATCCCGTTTTGCCGTCTATAGTCTACGTATACTGTACAGTGGTCGGCGGGCGATTATATCAATACAATAAAGACAACATTTGATTTAAAATGTTTTGATTCCTAACTAGAAATTTTTAAATTACAAGTTTACAAGTAAACGAAGAGAATCTGTTAAGGGAGAACTTCTCTTTGTTCAAATGCTTCAGTGTTTAAAAGCTTGGTAGAAATCAAAATGGAAATATCAAGTCGTCTTCATTGTATTGATATATACGACGACGACTGTACTATACTTCCTCTTTATCTACCTATAAGTTAGTATAACGGTACAAATGAATTGGATTGGAGTTTTTAGTTGATAGGATAGGATAGGATAAAAAGATAGGATAGGATAGGATAGGATAGGATAGGATAGGATAGGATAGGATAGGATAGGATAGGATAGGATAGGATAGGATAGGATAGGATAGGATAGGATATAGGATAGGATAGGATAGGATAGGATAGGATAGGATAGGATAGGATAGGATAGGATAGGATAGGATAGGATAGGATAGGATGGGAGAGGATAGGATAGGATAAGATAGGGTCTATACACACAACCCTATACCAGAATACTTCTACCTACCATCCAAACTCTATATTCAAGAAGGCAGCTACCAACCAATTTTCGCTAAATTAAGTATAAAGGCTTTACATTGCCTAATTTATAATTTTTTTTTCCAAAATATAAATTGGATTTACAGATTCTAAAAAATAGCTTAAAGAGACTGCAAGCGTTGTTTCACTTTTTCTAATATGAATTGATATCAAAGTTTATAATTGTGAAATATGATCGTTGTCAATTGTGGTTTCTCTACAAAAGGGACTTGCACAATTCTACGGCAGGACAAAAATATAGAAATTATCAGAATTAAACATAAAAAACGACAATATCTTCCACAGCATTGATCAGATAAAGGTTTCAAGCATGTTTAAAGGGTACCGTTGGGAATCGTAAATTTAGTTAGTTTATTAAAAATTGTGTAATAACTTTGAATAACATTGATGGGTAATTATGATATTTTCCCAGATAAAAAAAATTAATGAAAAATATTTACTTACGCTAGAAATGGTCTGAAAGCCATTTTATTATCACAGCCCCTGAATACTGTTGCAGTAATACTATAGCATTCTTGCAGTATATCCTACAGGTTTATAGAACAGTTCTAAACTATGATCAAGTTTCACTTGACCATAACTTTGTATTCAACATTTTATAATTCTAACACAAATATTGTCTCATCAAAGTCACCATTTTAACTAGAAATCTAATTTATAAATGAAATGTTCACATTGTTCTAATTCCGAATTTTACCAAACTGGTATCTTGAGAAGAGAGAAGGGCCTACTAACTTCCAGCTGTATAGAGTATAGACTGTGTAGACTGTGTAGAATGTTTGAGGTAGAAACTCAAAGATAAATTTGACTGATCGAGAGAGATAAGAAGAAAAGGGGACCGAAGACAGGGGACAAAGGACCAGAGACAGGGGACATGAGACAAGGGATAAGAGACACTTGGAAGTAGACAGGGGAAAAGTGATAGGAGATGGGAAACAGGAGACTGCGAACAGAAGAAAGGGGACGAGATAAGAGATAGAAGACGAGAAACAGGAGACTAGGGTCATGGGATAGGAGACAGGGGACAGAGGACTTTTGATAGGAGGCATAGGATATGGGACCGAAGACAGGGGACAGTGGACAGGAAAAAGGAGGCAGATGACAGGGGACAGGAGACAGGGGACAGGAGACAGGGGACAGGAGACAGGGACAGGAGACAGTGGACAGGAGACACATGACAGAAGACAGGAGACAGACATCAGGAGTCAGGATACAGGGGACAGTGGACAGTATAGGCGGCAGGGACAGGAAACAGGATAGGAGGCAAGGGACAGGAGACAGTATAGGAGGCAAGGGACAGGATCGACAGTATAGGAGGCAGGGGACATGAGACAGTATAGAAGGCAAGGGACAGTAGACAGTATAGGAGGCAAGGGACAGGAGACAGTATAGGAGGCAGGGGACAGGAGAAAGTATTGGAGGCAGGGGACAGGAGACAGCAGATAGGATAGGATAGGATGCAGAGGACAGGAGACATGATCACAGAAGACAGGAGACATAGGAATGGATCGAATATGAGTCAGTATAGGATGCAGGGGACAGGAAAGAACAACTGGTATGATTTAGTATATAGATAAGATTACTTGGAAGAAAACAATTATTTTATCTATTAATATTCTTGTCTATGAAATTTCCTATAAAAAGGCCTGTCTATGAAATATCCTGTCTATGATATGTCTTCTTTAAAATGTCCTATCTATGAAATGTCTTATCTTTGAATGTCCTATCTATGACATGTCCTATTCTATGAACTGTCCTGTCTATGAAATGTCCCTTCTATGAAATGTCCCGTCTATGAAATGTCTTGTCTATCAAATGTCCTGTCTATGAAATGTCTCTCTATGAAATGTCCCAACCCCGACAAATCAATATCGTAAACTCTTTTTGTTTGTTTTTTCACAATACAGTTTTCAAATTCATAACTAAATTCTTTAATTCACTTTTTATTTGCAAACTAAAGCATGCCTAAGACGACATTTTAGCCCGTTTATCAGACTACGCAGAAAAAAGCAACATTTTGTATCGGTTCATTTGTATTATACATTTAGGTAACATTTCATGGTGGAAATTTTACCTATTCAAAGTGTACATAATGTTTGTATAGGAGAATATGTACAACACGACCACATTACTGATTACTGACGTTAACGTAAATTAAGAAAACCTTGAAAAGTAAATTAGTTTAAATATTTTATAAAAATATTTGCACTCTTGCCTTGTACAAAGAGTATGGTTCCTTAGCTGTTCTAATACGTCACAGTAAAATATAAACAACCCTTCCCTCCTTCGTTATTATTTTGTAGGCTCTGCTAGTTTTAAAATTTTTAACTAAGGATTTCATAGATTAATTAAAATAACAGATAGGACAATTTATATCGTCTTTTCAAGATTTGGATAAAACTCGTTCATAATAATCCAAGGCTTCCGGCCCAGAGGAGTTTCGCGCAGTCGGTGTAGAATTACAAAACAGAGAGTTGGTGTTCAACGCCGACTGCGCGAAACTCCTGTGGACTTCTGCCTCAGGGTTATTGTGAAACAAAAGTAAATTGAACGTCAAATTTAAACTTTATATGTTTTCAACAAAGAGAATAGAATATATATTAGAGTGGAATTTACTAGGAAAAAGTCTAAAACGGCCATTATGTTGTACCGTTTCCATACTGCAGGTGTACTTCACATATTTGTGCTGTATAACCTTTTGGGCCCTGGAACATTATTTTATTGAAAATCTAAAATTAATATTAAAAGAAAACCAAATTATGATAAAGGCTGGTTTCATAATTGACCGATGATCATTTCCCATAGACTCTATTCCTTTCACTTTACAAACGATGATTTTCGTTATAACTATAAATCAAATGATGTTTTTTATTCACCTAATTCATTTTATAAAGTTTATTTAACAGCTTTAAAAAATTCGTATTTGAAATGGATAGTCTAGGGAGTATACTGTATTAATGTACTCTACTGCATATAATTTGTGAACATTTACATGATTTGTACACTTTGAACTCCCTTTCAGGCTGAAAAGGACTGACAAAATTCATACCGAGGGATTGTCTAAATTCATACCGAGGGATTGTCTAAATTCCACTCTAATATATATTCTATTCTCTTTGGATTATAATCATATAGCTCCATTTAATTGGGAGCTATTGAGAACTACAAAAATGTTTTTGTCTAGTTCAGTTTGTATAGGTCGTTATCATGATTAACAGTTAACCCTGAACAATGTTTAATGATAAACTCAGCTGTGTTGAGTCTATAAACCAACTAGAGCTGGGATTAATTCATAATCCCTAGATCTGAAGGCAACAGTATTAAAGCCAAGAACCTCGGGCACCACCCTTCCAAGGATACTCATGGAGGACAGTCAGGGTTTCCCACAACGAATGAGACGTCGGAGCTATACGATTGTTTGAATTATTTTTACTCTTATATCTCATAATTTCTAAATTTCTAAAACCCCTGGAAACGATCGTTAAACGAACGTATCGTTGTTTTTTTTCTAAAAGTTTAAACGAGTTATTTGTTTATTGTAACCCATTTTTCTTTCTAAAAAACGATACGATCGTTTTTAGAAGAAAACAATCGTTTTTAAATTTGATCAACAACCCTACCAAAAGAAGGAGACTCTATTGTTATAATATTTATTTTCAAACACAAAATACAAAATAATAATGTAAGATGGTTCAGCTAAAAATAAAACACAAAAGAAAATTTAATATGAGCCAATTGAAAATATAATGTTTCATAATTTTGTTCTGAGGGGTATTTGTTGAAACAACCTATTCATAATGAAATCTGAACGGAATATTCATTCAATTGTGCATATACAACTTACAAGTAGATACTTAGTCAGCACTCAAATAATCAAAACATTTTCAGGAATGCATTCATTAAAGTTATAAATACATATTGATTCAGCAAAAGTAGCAATGTATTCCCATTGGCTTTATAGTAGACTTTGTGTTCATTACTCAATCAAATGAAACATTTGAAACATATTTGTAAGTTTATAGGGGTTAACTAGGCTAAAATAAATTAAAAATTATTTTCTCCTTACAATTAAAAATTTGGCTTGTCTGTCTGTTTGTTTGTTTGTCTGTTTGTATCCTATAAACGTCAAAACGGCTGAACCGATCGGGTCCAAATTTTTTGTGGGACATCACGTGACCACAGGGAAGGTTTATGAATGACAAAAATTTTAAAAAATGTATTTTAAAGATTTTTAATTTTGTAAAAAAATTGAAATTCTTAAAAAACCGCGAATTTTTTTTTTTTTAAATCCGAAAAATTTTTTTGTTCTTTGTTTTAAATGTAAACAAAAAAAACCTGTTCACAATTTAAATAGATGGGCGCGAAGTACAATTAAATTTTTTTCCCATTTCTCTCAACTATGTGCTTTATATATATGGAAACGCCTCAAAACGGAAACGGACCCCAAAGTGACTTTGGGTCTATTTCCTTCTTTTTTAAAGAAAATGAGCTTGGTGAAAAAGTAAAAAATAAAGATTTTATAATGAAAATACATTCGTATAAATGTATTGAAATGGATTGAAATGGATTGAATCCATCATTAGCAAAGGGTGTGAACCCGTTCTTGTTGACTTTGACATCCACTATTTGATGCTACTCATGTCTTAAAAGGCAATGTTATTTTTACAAGAAATAAACCATCGTATCTATTTTTTTCACTCCATGTCCACTACTTACCAAAACTCCTCTCTGTTTGAGACCCTGATTTTTTTTCAAACTTTTTTTAATCAATTTAAGTACAAATTAATTAATTTTCAAGAATAAACGATAGACAGAATGAAAATTTGATAGAATTAAACCGTAAGTTTACCAAGCATAGATAAAAATTTCTAAAACTTCTAGGGTTCACTTAGCTGTAAGCAAGTACAGTGACGAATTCGATATCGTCTTTTTAACTAATTCTTTGATTTAGTATAGTGATACCTACTGAAAAAGCTGTAATCTGTAAGAGTTTCGTCTGCTACGTTCACATTTTGTTTGTTTATGTATTGACTGCATAGGTTGTGCTTAGTAAAACAAGAAAATTGCAGTATACAAACAGAGTAAACTTATCCGTCTTCACTGTTCATCTTGCGGAGACATTATAGACACATCTTTACAGCCTTTTACCCTTTTCATAAAATAAACTCTAGCAGACATAATAATATTTTTTTCTCTTTCAAACTTTTTATTGAAACAATAAAGGTACAGATCTGAGAAAATTGTGTAATAATGATAAAAACACACGAATATTCATTTATATATATATATATACAAAGATGCTTCTCGCAAATTACTCTCTAATTTAAGGTACGGAATTTAAACTAGTAAAGACTTAACAACTCTGAGATCTGGAATAAGGTCCTACATGAAATGAAAAAGGACTCTCTTTTTGAATATAATAGAAAATAGAAAAAGACTTCTCGTCTAGGGTAAAAAAAGACTTCTCGTCTAATATCATAGGAAGAGGTTAGAGAAGAAATAAGAAAGAGTACGATAAAATATCGAGAAATGCACAAAACATTTGGATAGTTAACCAATTTATAATGTTTATATAGTTTATCAATTAAACCTTGAACCTGAACTGAACTTTGGTGGCTGGGGACATTAGATCTTGGCTTTAGTTGATCTATGAGCTAGAGCTTCATT